CATTCGAAGAAGAAGACAAAAAGAGGGTACATGAAAAAGTTGTGGCATACTATTTATTATTCATGAGTCACAATCCTTTTTGCATGATGGAATATTAAAATGATATTGGATTAATGAAAAGCTCAAATATTTTTGGGTTGAATTTTTTTTGTGTGTCTAGTCTTGCTAAAGAATTTTAATCTATTTTAAATTAATTGATTATAAAGATGAGCGTTGATGTTAATTGAAGATTTATTTAATAAGTGTAAGCTAGATGCGTTCATATCTAAGATCACTTTGTATATTTGTGAATGAGCGTCAAGCAGAAAATTTAATCTATAAAAACACATCCTAGACACAATGGCTAGCTTTTTTCATCCAACACGACTCGTTCTAGCAAAAAAACTCAATTCAATCTTTACAAGTATATAGCTTTGGCTATAAATACACTACAGAAAGTCAGCAACTGAAAAAAGGATATTCAGGTAAATATAAATATTTTATAAAAAGAACTCAGGATCCATTATATCACTCAACTTTCCAAACCTTAAATCTTCTTCATTTTTGTCCTTTGAAAATCCAAACACATACCGCAGAAATTAAATAAGAATTCACTGAAACATTTCAAGGATATCCATGCCGCATCAATAAATTGTATTTTTCTCTCTCTCCCGAAGTAATAAAAGCTATAAATTTATCTTTTAATATTTTATTGACTTGACTTGAAATTGATTTTATGGAAAACATAGGAAAAGTAAAAGGTAAATTTGACAGGAGGGCTGTTTAAGGTTGCGTCACCTAGTAATGTCAATAAACAACAGTTATTAGTAATAAATCGATATCTGCTCTGAATTGAATATAGAATAAGAAATGCTGCGATATAATTTGATAGACGTGTGATTTGTGTACATATAGTAAATTGTCTTTGAAAGGTGCTATGGCCTGAAAGATTATTTTATATTAAGCTGAACATACAATGTCTACTAAAATCCAATGAAATGAAGATCTGAAACTTTCTGGCCATTAGGAGACAAAATCACCCAAAACAACCTCCTTCTAATAACATCTTTCCATACAAAAAAAAAAAAATAAAACCCCCATGAAAATTCCATCTTCATTCACCGCACATCCAAACATTTTACATTCAAACGAAATCCTGTGCTCTTGTGCCTTCACATTCTCTTCTTCTCTTTGCATTTGTTGTTATATGCCAACGATGAGTCATCAACGGCATGGAAAAACGGAAAGAAACTTTATTCTATGTATAAACATGAACAGGAAGGTAATAACACTTGATATAGGGGCTTTATGTATTTTGTACTGCCACTTCTATCTTACATACAAATGAAATATAAATAATGAAAATTGAACCTTTGAAGAGAATTGAAAGCGACAATGGAAAAGATGTTGGTTATGTGGAGAGGACATAAAGTGAAGCAAGAAAGAGGAGAAAACTTCATGCATTACGCACATTCACTCAATAAAAATTGCTCTAATAAGAATATCGATTTTTTTGTTCTTATTCTTTCCTTCAAGTGGTTTCATATTTCAGATGTTTTGATGATGAAGAAAACTGTTGATTGTTGTAAGGAAAATTAAGAATATGAAAAATTATTTTTTTGAATATTTCAACCATGTTTATGCTTAACATCAATACAAAATGAGTATGAAAAACTTTCATCAACTACACAAAAAACTCATTTATTTTATAAATCCATAACTGTCCAATTTAAAATTAATAACAGCATTTGTTTAATAAGTAAATGCTTGAGATGCAATTGCAACAAATTTACAATTTTTGGTAAATGAAGTCGACATTTTTTCAAATTTACTAATGATGATACAAATACATCATTTCAGAATTTTTGATTAACATCAAGCTATTATATTTTAATAATATGACTAACCTAACATATTTAGACATATAAGTCATAAATGATTAAAAGGTTTAAATCATTTGCAATACTACGTCTTATTTCTAATATTTATTGCTGGCCTCACCATCGTAATAGGATTTGTGCTTTTTCGACAAGAGATTTTAATTTTATTGATATGATTTATGTTGCCAAGGATTATTAAAGTTATTATAATCAAACAGATTAATATGCCGGCTGCAATGTAAAAGTAAGAACTCTTAGAATCTACATAGCATTTGCGCAAAAAATCTTCAAAATTTCTTTGATTTTCATTAAAAATTACTTTTTTATATGTGACAAGCCAGAAAACTGAAATTTCTTTGTGGTACAAGATACCCAAATCATTTTGTGGCCTTACAGTTGCTTCAACATCTTGATTTACTCCATAAACTCTACTAATATAACCAGAAATTTTATTTTTGCACCTAAAACTGTCATTTAAGATTTCGTCCATATTAAATTCGTGCAAAAACAAAAGCTCGTAACACTGTTCATTTTTGAGATGAATTGTTTCTAATCTTAGCTTCCAAACTCGTTCATCTATTGTTATTATTATGGAATTGTAATCTTCAAAATTCATGATCATATCCCAAACTGATGTCTTATTAAAAATAATTTCTGTTGAATTCAAAAATGGCAGTGGAAGTATTTGGTCGAGTAAAACTGTATCGTATATTTGAGTCAAAATCGTTTCTTTGAGTTTACAATCTCTTTTCATAAGTTCAACATCATATTTGGTTTAAATCCAAAAGAATTATGAAAAATGCTCAGTAAAACAATTGAAATTTTGGTTAATTTAAGAATATTTTTCATTTCGAAAAATTGTACCAAACTTTATGGATTGAATGAGGCAACTGAAATAAATCAAATTATAGATCAACTTATAAGTTGAATACATTGAAATTGAACTTATTTTAGTTCTAATGACATTAATGTTCAATAAAATTAATTTTATTGTGATTCAAATTAATTTAATGTTGTTTGGACATTCAAAATTTTTGAGGTTCATTCAAAGTTGAGGATCAAATCAAATGAATTAAACAATCTTTTGACTTTTATATACTACTACTTCATTAATATAAACATCCAAAATATCGTTCGATTTATAATTTAATTGAGAAAAACAAATTATTTTTTCAGCAATTTAACATTTATTTTATTATAATACCAAATTTTCATTTTATAATCTGTCATTATTTCAAAATGAGATAAATTTAATATGGAAAAATTTTACGTTTCATCAAAAAATCGTGTAAATATGCTACAGCAATACCAATCGTTACAAAAATCAATATCAATTCAAACAGCATGAAAACATAATTAAATGAAGTCGCATGACAATCCTCAAGAAACTCTTTATAATTAATTTCATTATCATATTTAATTTTAGTTTTTCTTGTTATAATCCAATATATATAATCCTTTTTCATAAATGGTATATTATTTGGATCCATAATTGGAATAGCTTCACTTCCGCTATATTCATAATCTAAATACAAGAATTTGCTTACATATTTATTTGAATAGTTTTGACACTTAAAAATTGTGTTAATAGCATCATTGAAATCAAACTCTAAAACTGTAAAGCAGTATCCTGTTTTTGAATTTTTTTCAAAATAAGTTTCATTCAAAGTTTTGTTAAAGATTTTATTATCATAATTTATTAAGAGACTAAACTGCTTTTTTGAATGGTTTTTTCGATCCACTGATACAATTAAACTTAAAATAAGAAAATCCAGGAGATTAAATGGATCATCCAGTAAGCGATAACAATCATAACTCGCAATGATTTTTGTTGAACTTCTTTCAATTGAATTTAATAAAAACAGAATGTTTGCTTTATAGCATGAAATTTGATTCGTTAATGCACAAATAATTGCAACTTTAATGACAAAATTAAACATTTTTCAAATTTTCATTTTGTGAAGAAAATTAATACTGTTTTGTGAAAACTTATTAAACTTCCAAACTTACATGCAATAATAAAGCGGAGTTTGAATTCTCAACCCTCAATGAGACATTAGATTTTATCAATTCCTTTCGAATTAAATATTATTGATCTATAAGTTGGGATAAGTATTTTTTAATAATACATTAAAATATTTAAGTAAACTATTCTTAGCTGCTCTAATCATCTAAGAAAAAGATATAAGCTTTTTCAATTTCAGGGATAAACTTTGCGTTTTTTCATAAAACTGCGTAAATGTGACACAACATAACCGATTACTATAAAAATCAAAATTATCACTATTAGCAATAAAACATAATTATGAGAATTTAGATGACAATCCTCTAGAAATTCTTCAAAATTGATATTATTATCATATTTCATGTAACTTTTTCTTGTTATGACCCAAAAAACGTAAATTCTTTTGAAAAATTTTACAACTGTAGGATCCTTGAACGAAATTGAACTATTAACGAATTCATAATTTAAATAAAGGAATCTGCTTACATATAAATTTGAATAGTTTTGACATTTAAAAATCACATTTAATATAGATCCAAAATCAAACTCTAAAACTGTATAGTGATGTCTTTCCACAGGATTAATGTCATAATATGCGTCTCCAGTTGTAACTTTATATTCTTGCTCATCAAAGTTCACCATTAGACTGTGTTGCTTTAATGAATGGTTTTTTAAATCAACTGATTTAATTAACCTAATAGCAACATGATCAAAAATATTGAATGGTTCATCTTTTAACCGATAAATATTATAAGTCGCTCTAATTGTTTTTGAATCATTAACAATTGATTTTAAATGAAACAGAGTGTTTGCTTTAAATGAAATAGTTTGTTTGATTACCACAAAAATAATTGCAATTTTAATAAAAACCTTAAACATTTTTTGATTTGAAAATCTTGGATTTTACAAAAAAGTACTGTCAACATTTCTAGACCAAGTTGATAATAAAAAGAAAAGTTGAAAAATGTTCAATTATTTTCTAATTTTTGAATCCTTAATGCATAAGTGTGTTTTAATATCCATCATTATGTGATTATTTTTGGATTAATATAAGTTTAATTAAATTAACTGAAAGTTTTCTTGATTAAATCATTAAAACATCTCATCAATCAAAATCGCATCAATCAAATTCGAATCTAATGACGAACTTGTCCAAATTTGATAGTTGGATTTATCTTTCTTCGAAACAAAACTAAAGAATCTTGATTCCTTTGTTGCATATAAAACACAATTTGAACAAAGATCACAAAAATAATTAAAACAATTAAAACTGCTGTAATGAGGTATTGATGATATCTCGAATTGCAGTTCAGACGAAATTCTTTGAAATTCCTACTATTATTAAACATAAAAGTATTTTTATGAGTTATTAACCAATAAACTTTGATTTGTTTTTGAAAATTTATATTTATAGCACCTGGAACATCGGAATCAGAAAATAATCCACTCAAATTCTTATTTTTGAAGTAAAACCTACTTTCATAACCATGCATTAAATGACGACATTGAAAAGCTTCTGTGAGAAATTTGTCAATATCAATTTTAAAAATTTTGGAATAATCTTCACAAATTTGACTTTTTGATAATTCAATCATTGTTAAGTTCCAGACATTTTGATCAATATTAACGATTAAAAAATATGAAAAACCTATGTATAAAACTTTTGTTCCAAACACTTGATGTATTATGATATGATCATCAAGTTTTAAAAGAAGTGAAAATAAGTCATCAATGACAATTGTACTGTAAATTCCAGTTGTTAATCGTCCATTCTTTTCAATAGCTGATAAATTAAGAACTAAATTTGTGTCGAATCCATAAACTAAGTTGATAATAACGACAAGAATTAACGACGATGTTTTGATACTAACGATTGACATATTCGATTCAATTTCAAAACTGAAAATGACATGACAAAGACAATGCTCTTAATTTATATTAAGGATCCATGTTAACGCTATGCAAACTACTTACATCTTCTTTATCTTTAAATGATTTATGAACATTAAGAACCAGCTATTATACATGCTTATAACCATAACAAAATAACTCATTTTCTTGTTTTTAAATTACAAAACACTGAATGGCACAGTTTAGAAAAATAATGCAGATTCCAAATATTTCAAAAATTAACAGATACGACATGAATTCTGGTTCATGACTACATTCTTGCAGAAATATTTCAAAATTTCTTTTGTTTTTGTGAAGAAATAAATCTTTTTTGGTAATTAACCAATAAATTGGATTCTTCAATACAATTGCTAATTTAAAGTTAAATATTTCTTCAACTACTGAACTTTTATAATTAGTTTTATTTTCATAAAATCTGCCAATATATCCTGAAACTTGTGATTTGCACTTGAATAAATCGTTTAGAATTTCATCCATATTAAATTCAAGAATAGTCAGTTTTGAACATGGAACAGTTTTATAAGTAATTTGAAGTTTTTGACTCCAGTTGTTGTTTTCAGTTTTAAAAGTGATATTTCGGTTAATTATCATTGAACCTCTTGTAGGTATATAGTATTCTTGAACAAATACACAGCTTTCCAAATCAATTGGCAATGGAAATATGTCATCAAACAAAATAAAATCATAGACAGCAATCAAGTGCTCTTTGTCATAATTGAACTCAGTTCTCGATAAGTTCAAAATTATATTTGGATTGAATCCAAAAGTATTTTGGATCATGAGATAAATTTTGATTATAATTATGAAGCTATGCATTGCAATGCTGGATGTTTAAAGAATTTTAGAAAATTGACTTGTTTAAACTTTCTTGAAAATAACAATTCAAAACAACTCTACAACTTTATAGAAACTAAATTGGTTTTCAGGAATTTTTCATAACCATGAAAATGAATTTGTATTTTATTCCTGGAAATTTATTAAAAATATAAGAATATTAAAAGGATAATCATAATTTAAAGACACAAATTTAATATTTTTTCAAACTAATTTTGTTGTGTAAATACATTGTGAATTGAATTAAAATCAAATTATCATTTTTGACATCAATCAAAAAGCAATAAGATTATAATGATGAGTATCGATGTAATAGTAATAATTTTAAACCATTTCTATGTAAGACTATATTTATAAAATATTAATGACAAACCCTAGCCTCACACTAGAAGTTATGGCTATTGTATTTCCTAGAAACCGACCTTATCTGTAGAGTTTAAAAAACAATTCGATTTGAATATTTTTAAAATTTCTGTCGTGATCTTAATATTATAACTCGATTAGACTTTCTATGTATACAGAATTTAATTTTCTTTAAATGTTTTATATTTCCCAAAATTACTATTGTTATTACAATAAAGCTTAATAATGTACCAGCAATTATGTACAATCTGTTGTTATGAGAAGTAGAATGGCATTCGCGAAGAAACTCCTGAAAATTTCTTTTATTGTCGAAGTAAATAAAATTTTTGTGAGTAATTAGCCAGAAAACTGAAATTTTATGATTATAAGATATTTTCAACTCTATTCTTGGTGATAAAACTTTGAAGTCTTCGAACTTTATAGCATAGAATCTACTAATATATACAGTGACTTGATGTTGACAATGAAAAACTTGATTAAGTATTTTACTTACATCAAATTCCTGTATACGAATAAAATCCTCACATATTTCCTTATTGAACTTAGTTGTGTCAATATTTTTAACTGTTTCAAGAGTCATATTCCAAACTCTGTTATCATTTGTTATTTTTATTGATTCAATTAAATCAATATTTATAATTGTATCCCATTTGTAATCCATTGTATACAAAATTTTCAAAGAATCATTGAATAGTAAAGGAAACATTTCATCCTGAAAAACTGCATCATAAATTAAGCTCACAAACATATTTTTGTTATCAATGATCGTGTTCGACAAATTAAAAAAAAGATTTACTTCATATCCACAAGCTGAATAAATCAAATTGGATAAAAATATCACAAATTTAATCATATTTTGAATATTTTTGATAATGTTAAAAAATATTACTTAACAGTCTTAATGAACTTACTGAAATAAATCAAAATGTAGCTTCGTCTTTTATTAATAATCTTTTAGAATAATCTCTTCAAAATCAAACCAATTTAAAACCAATCAAAAAGCTGTTAGAAATCTTTAACAAATGATGTCAATTAAAATTCAAAACTTTAAACCAATTCTTTGTTAACAAAGTAATGTGCTTTATATCCATTCAATTAAATCACAAAAAATATTAATAAGTTTAATTAAACATTTTTATCGACCGGTGTGACTATTATCGTCGGAATCAAATTATTTAATGGAATAATTCGTGTTGCTTTTGTCTTTTCCTCATACCAAAAAGTGATTACCATGACGATAAATAGGAAGAAAAAAATTCCACCAGTAACCATAAAATACAAACTGCTCGAGACAGAATTGCATTCCTTCAAAAAACTCCGATAATTTCTGTCATTATTAAAAATTTTCTTTTTCTTGTGAATCACTGACCAATCCATGTAAGTTTTGTTATAATAGTTAAATCCATTGGGATCCCAGCAATAATTAAAATGGCTTATATATCCTGATACTCGATTACAGCACTCGAATGCCGCATTAAGGACATCATCAAAGTCAACTTCAAGATGTAAAAGTCTTTTATTGCAAACTAATTGTTGTGATTTCATCATTTCAATTGATTTGTTCCATTTATTATCGCCAATTTTAATAATCAGGTTTCGTGAATGACTTAGTTTAATTCCACTAGACCTCAGTACAGAGATTTGCTGTAGGTACATAAAGTCCATAACACCAAAAGGCAATGGAAAGGTGTCATTTAGAAAATATATTTTAAAAACGTCGATAACGTTACTTAATTGGTATTCTACAGATGACAAATTGAATAGTGTATTCACATTGTGTCCACTAGAAAGACATAGAAAATTAATCAAATATATTAAAACTGTTTTAAATTTAACAATTATTCTTTTAATCCAATTCATTTCTTAAGTTCTTACACACTGTAATCAGGAAATCATTTCCTTTTACATTTATACTAGGAATAATTGGGAATAATTATTGAATTAGAACAAAACTATTGACAAACAAAATTAAAGTCACATTTTATTAATAACTTTTAATATTCCAGAGAGTAACATTAAGCACAATCAAAATAGAATATAGCACATTAAGAACATATCAATACTATTTACTCTAGTGATTTTAGGCAATCAATTACATTCTATGTAACAATCTTTCCTTGATTTTGAGGAAATATTCAGGTTTTGTAGCATTATGATCCAAGCAACACAAAAGGATAAAGAGAACTAGATCAATCCCATCAGAATTTCCATACATATTAATTATGATCATTAATAAATCTTCTAGAAAAATACAAAACAATCAGATACAAAATACCGATCCCGAAACATGCCAAAATTCCATAAAAATAATTCTTTGACTCATAAAAGCAGTCAGTAAAGAACTCATCAATATCAACAGAATCAATTTCCTTGTATTCATCACCCTTCTTCAAGACTGTTTTGTGATCAGCAGTGAGTCTTTCCGAATATATCTCAGTAAAGTTCTCATTTTGATATTCAATTTCTCGATTCATGGTTGCATTAATGATGTGAATTTGCAGGTAAATCTGATTGTTAACTCCAGCGTAGCAGTTGTACAGAATTGACAATATTTTATCTAGATTGAAATGAAGTAAAATGTTCATTTCGCTTTCTAATTTTTGCTTTATAGTTATTTTTGATTTTATGCTCTTTCCAAGATCCTTTGAGTCAAAATGCAGCGAAAAAACATTGTTGAATTCACACAATTTCCTTTGAAATGTTATTGAGAATTGTTCGCCGATCTCATAAATGAATGTAGAAGCATCGCACGTCTTGAATGAGTAAAATACGATGACACAACTATTAACTGTGGATTTTTTTGTTTCAAATAATTCCAATTGATGGACTTGATTGTCACCGAAAGCAAAAGGATTCATAAAAATCAAGAAAAGGAACTTTTTCATTTTAGGAACTTTAATTACAGCTATAGCTAGTGTAAGTACTAGATAGTAAAGTCACAATTTTAAGTCTGAGCATTTTACAATCTTAAATCCTTTTTAAATGTTAAGTTTATTTCAAATTAATTGAATTTTGATTTATTTACAAATAATTTACATTAAATTAGACATAACGATATGAAGTAACTTCGAAATTGATAATTTTAATTTGTTTATCTGATTATTAAAGTGTGATTATGCTGGTTGATGAGCTTTTCGTGATGTCAAAGCAATTTTGGAATGTGACAATAAAAACTCATGTAATATTACGTAAGGCTATGAACAATAATCTGGGAGGGCTTCTACTGATAGAAGGTTGTTCAAAGATTACTCCTAAATGTAAGGACAAAAGCTTTAAAGTAGCATAAATTATATTTTCATGAAAATAGGACATAAAGCTTAAATTATAACATTTAGCTACGTAATCTCTAGCAATCTCCCCATATTCTTTTATCGAAATCAACAATTATCTTCGGGGCTGTTCACTTATTACGTAACGCGAAAAATGACTTTTTAGACCCCCCCCCCCCCCTCGTAACAAAATTTGTATGAAAAAAAAATTTCCTTGTTTGAACCGTAACAAAATCTTAGACCCCCCTCCCCCCCTAAAAGCGTTAAAAGAATCTCTTTTATCCGCATAAATCAGCAATCCAATGCTCATATCAAACCATCTATCGCATGGCTAAAGATAATCATGAAAATTCTCGTAGTCAGAATTAATGTTCGCAATATAATAAATTTAATGAGAACTTTTCCATCCAAGCATTAACTCTCATTGAATTAACGTCGCATATACACATTTCTTATAGCCACCAACATTGGAATGGCAGTAATTCGAGTACAAGGTGAAAACTTTTTCTCGATTAGACGATGTCGGTTGGTCTATTAAGGTCGGCGAAGGGAGGAAAGATTATAGCTTGAGGAAATTACACAGAATGAGAAAGAATTTCTTATTTTGCTTTTTTTGAGGATATTCAGACTAAAAATAAATGAAGGATAAAAGCTTTCAAGTCGTTTCAAATTTCTTTTTATTTTGTTTCAATTTCTTTGCCGAAAGTTTCTTTTTTACACGACAATCCAATAAAAATGGAATTAAATTTAATTTAGAAGTTGATGAAATGAGAAGAAGAAATTGAATGTAAAACTTTCGTGATGTCTGTTGGATGGTTTGATTGTCAAGGAAAATTTTTTGAAATAATTTTTTTGGAGACTTTTGGAATCAAAAACCAATGACATCTAGCTTTTAGGTTTGAAAGATATTTCCATTTTTAATCAGCAATTTTCTTCAGACCATTTAGCATCCCCTGGTAATACCAATTGGGGAACCATGAGATGAAATCTACATGCTGTCACTTGTGAATAACTCCTGAATGAATAAGCCAAACTAAGAAAATTTTTGACAATTTTCGATAGACTAAATGGAATATTTTTTCTCAACGAGGATAAAATTGCTTTTGAGTGCAGACTGGCAGGCGATTTTCTATTCCTGAGGAGAACCTTGTTGACTTTTTATATCATTTTGTAGCCAGAATTTGTTTTTTCAACTTTCCAGCATCACAAACAACTACTAAGAATACATCCATAATCAACTCTCCACGACCTAATTAATAATTAATTAAAAAACTTCGCATAATTTAATTAAAATTCATGTCCTTATCAGTTCTCATCATCTATAAATACCACATCCAGCAAAATAAAACATTTTCGATTGTAAAATAATTTCATAATTAATGAACTTGTTGTACACTCATTTACCACATTGACGTTGATCGATTTAATTAATGAAATTGAACCATAAAATGCTTTATGCTACTCCCAAAAGAACTAATTTTTTATTGATTTTTGATTCGTTCTTGTCTTTTATTTGACTTTATTCGGTATTGACATTTCATCTTCTTATTTGTCCTGTCTTCTTTCCTTATGTCACATAAATTCCGCAATAAAAGAAGAAATTTTTAATAATTCAAATTCCATTTTCCTTCCTATCTAGGAGATATAAATATTTTTTTGGGTTGGAATGAGGAGATTTTTTTATGTGAGAACTAGTTGGAAGATTGTATTAAAGTTTGAGGGTTAAGACGCATATTTTTGGTCCTGAAGTGGCAATTTAGCGAGTGGCTGTACATTGAAATATCTTGCATCCTACTGCTCTTACATGCTGGATCCCATTTTCCTTATTTCATGAATAATTTGAGCTCCATTCGGTTTTAAGTCTCAATTTTAAATAAGCGCAAACTCGACTTTGCAAAATATTTCTTGCTTTGCTAAGCTTTGCTAATAAACGATGCCCAAAATCTACAGCCATACAAAATGATCACAAACCCAACTCACCCATCAAAAAGGTAAGAAACAAAAACTGTACAAAATTGCAATAAAAATTTTATTTTATTTATTTTATTTTCCTTATTGGATGCCAAAAATTGCTTTTTCATTTTTGATTCCTTTCAAGATATAAAAAGGGAAATCCAAGACATATCATAAAGAATTTTATGCTTCAAATTTCCATCTTCTGTCAATTTTTTCACTGCATCCAATGATCATTATGTAAATATCTCTAATCTTATTTTACTCATATCTAAAAAATTGGCAACCAATAAGGCAGAAAAAAAAGTTTGGTATATCCTGTCGATTTCACATGAGAATTTTGCAATATTTATGTAAGCTTTTAGCATGAAGGCAAAGTCAAGATAGAGACGAGCTATCGTGATGAAATTACATCATACAAAAAATAACACAAACAACGTCTACTTGTCGCCATTTCCATATACGGCCTACGAATTTCATTCACATATATTCGTACATATAAAAATATAGATTTATATCCACATTAAAAAAAATTTTTTGAGCATAAAAACTTGATTCGTGCGAATGTACAAGCTGAATACAGCTGAAAACTAAATTCATCCCAATTTGGACGTGAACAATTAAACTCAATTTAATAAGATAAAAATGAAATGTTTTTTTGGTCCACTACGAATGAGAGAAAATATTAAGTGAATGATAGAGGTGGTGCTGGTGAATTTTATGTTTGATGACTTTCAAATGGTTCATAAAATTTTTGATGACTGTATTAAAATTGTTTTCAAATAAAAATGTCTAAATTGAACTTTCTCCTAGTAGGAGCATGACAAGGATTGTAAATCCATTGCTTTTGTCATATCCTTCCAGATCTCATTGAACATTACCCTGATTGGTGCCTTAGTCTGTTAAACCCTCTAATATGCTCAATGATAAACTACTCAGCTTGTTCATTGTCTGTTAAACTATAAACTATGCAACGATGCAAATATCCCAATTTTTACAACATCTACAGCCTATACCAAACAACTCTGTCACATAAATACTCAACATATTAAGTGGGCACATTGAAAATATAATACAGTTGCAACTCTCACATTTTATGCACAGTTGATATGTCTGCTTGATCAAGTGATTTATGATTGTATGGCAAATAAAGTGCGCTCATTCCATCTGTCACTTTGACCCGCTTTTTATGGATAATCTATATGGTATTCTCACACGATTTCTAGTTTTTCCCGACACTCATAGCGATAAATGATTCCGCATATGGACATTTGCCTTAATTAGTGTATTGAAGCTACAAATTGTATGCACCTTCTTGTTTACTTTTGTGCTTATTAGCTGTGTGTTTTTTATGTCTCAGTCCACGGAGAGAAAAAAAAACGAGGCACAAATTTGGTATGATTTTTTATTACCATGGGTGCGGCATATCCACATACTAGCAAATGTACGTACATGATACTCATTCATAATATTCTAATTGGATTGATATTTTTTTTAGGCAAAAAAAGATTTTCACAAAATCACTTTTTTGACATTTAAGTTGCTATGTGGAACCATTCGCACACATGTGAAGTTGTCTGTGAATTATTGAATTGACGTAATATTGAGGAAAATATTGGATGTCCTTGAAGGAAAATTTAATGATACGCAATGATGTGGATTTTATGTATGCCATTGAATTTAATTTTTAGGTGGCATTTAATGTATTTTCCTTGGTGACTGCTAAGTTGTAGATTTTTACATAAAAAAAAAAAAAAAAAAAAAAAAAAAAAAAAAAAAAAAAAAAAAAAACCTTTACCTATTCAGATCAATTGTGATCCAGAGGTGCGCTAGGGCGATTCGCAGCTAATGAGAGTTTAACGAGTGAGGATGCGCCAAACCACTGCACTCAAACCTAGACCTACAATTTATAGTGGGATCCGAACCACTCCTTTGATGACATTTCTGTCTGTAGCCTACAAAGGAAGGCTGTGAGCCTCATTTCCAGTACATATGATTCGAAAAAGAACAAGTGAAAAATTTCCCATACCCAGTCTCGAACCCATGATCGCTGTGTCGGTATTGCAATAATTAGGTACCGAAGTACTAAACCATTCCGCCACCGAGCCACTTCAGATTTTTACATAAAAAGGATTTATTTGGAAACAAGCTTCAATCTTGAGCATGAATTATGATAAAACTTTAGGACAGGATTTTATCAAAATCGATCCTAAGATTCACTTATTAATTAAAAATCCCTTAAAACAATCAACATTACAATTCTAACATCCATAAATCATTAAATCACACCAATGAGTCGTCATAAGCCATCCATATATTTTCTCAACTCGTAATTCAGAAAGAAATCGAGGTTATGCGTGGTG